GCGCCGCGCCCGACCGCCAAGCAGGGCTACTCTTTCGGTGCGATCGGCCTGGTCGCTCTGTTCGCTGTGGGCGCGGCTGTCGTCGGCGCCATCCGCGCGCGCGCGCGCAGCGGGCCGCAGTACGTGCGTCAGACCAACCCGGACGAGCTGGTCTAGACACGACTTGCGGCGAGGCGCGTGGGCTCTCTCAAAGCATGTCGGTCGCAGCCATGATGTCGATTTAGCTGGCGCTCAAGGCTCTCGGTTTCAGATGAGGGGCTCGAGAGCGCGCTCTCGAGAGGTCACGGAATGAGACGAGGGTTGGGACGGAGGGCGGCAGATTTCAACTGCTGATGAATCCACTAGACTGTCACGTTTCGGGGACTGGTCACCTTTGTCTGCTGTTCTCATATGCATGGGCGCGATACCCCAGCGCGTGCTGAGGTGTGAGGAGGCTGTGGGGGCACGGGCGAGGTGTCACGGTGGGGATATACACACATGCATGCCGTTACACAGAAAAAGGGGCCGTAAGTAAGGGGAACTTTCGAGAAGGTAAGGTAAGGTAAGGTAAACGTCTCCACACACACAAACTTTACACCTCGTTCGCGACCGCGTTGACCGGTTGAGCGTCGACCGTCGTCCGTCCGAGCGCGGGCGCCGCGCCGCCGGCGCCGCCGGCGGGGAGGAGCGGGGATGCTATAGTGCTTGAGAAGACACCACACCACAAACGCGGCACGGCCCGTTTTGGCTCTGTCTGTGGAAATTCTGTCTTAGCACACACAGTGAGTCATTCGGAGTCATTCGATGGCCAGAGTGCGGCGATTGTGTTTGTGCGGGAGTTGGCTTAGGGGACCCCTAGGCTTAAAAGGGTGGGCCCTGGGGCGCCTGCGGCTTAAACGGCTTAAAACTTGCCATGGCAAGTTTTAAGAGCTGCTGGGCCGCCAATTCCTTAAACGGTCTTAAACGCTTAAACGGTGCGGGAGAGCTCCCGAGGTCGATGGTCCGGGAGGCTCCCGGTAGACACGCCGGAGGCCGGGAAGCTGGCTACAGTCAGCTAGCACGTGTCTCCTATGCGAGTATGGCTCCTGCCAGTGCACCAGACTTGCAGATGTGTCTTCAGAGGCGGGTTTGTGCCTAAAATAACGGCAGTGTGCCTAATAATGGCAGTATTGGAGAAAACGGCGCGGAACCCAGCGACGCGTGCCGGACTTTGTTAAACGGTGGTCTTAAAAGAGGGACCCCCGGTGCCTGCAATCTCTTAAATGGCAAGTTAAGCCCCCAAACCTCCTCGTTTCTTAAAAGGTCTTAAACAAAGATCGCAAGGGCGGGGACCTGTTCCTTTTTACCCATCTCACAGTAGAGGTGTCCGTTTTTATTTCTCATAGCCGCAGCCGTAGCCGCAGCCCCAACTCTTGCCGCTCTTCCGTGTCGGGTTGTGACGAGGGGTGAGGGGACACGGATTGAAGATCCCTCACACCAAGATCGTGCAGGGCGGGGACACATGTCCCTAAATCCCATCTCGTCTCAGAGTTTGCCCGTTTTATTTATTTTTCCTCCTTGAGCGCCGCCGCCTTGGCCAGGTTCGTGGCCACCTGCGACTCCTCCTCGTCCGCCTCGGCGTCGCCCACCATATTGCAGCCGCGTCCAACCGAAGAGAAAACGTGGGCGGGGCACTGTCTGTGCCCAACCCTCTCCACGCCGCGATGCGCCCCCTCCCCCTCGCCCTTGCAAAATCCTATCCTGCAAAGGTGGGGACGTGTCTGTCCTCGACCCAGCCCTAGCTTGGGATGTCCGTTCTATTTATTCTGTAGTTCTTTATTTATTTTATTATGCTATGCCACGTGGCTGTGTGTGTGTTTGGATTTCTATGTTTGCGATTTGGATTTTGGATTTTCCACTACACTTTGTTTATTTATTTATTACTATGCGATGTCCCTGATCGTCCTTACAAGATCCTGCTCGTGCAGGTGGGGACCCTGTCCTTCTCCCACCCCTCGTTTGGCGTGCCCGTTTTATTTATTTTATTTATTCTCCGTGTCGCGAGATGCGCTCCCCGCTCCCGTTCCCCTGTGTCCCTGATCGTCCTTACAAGATCCTGCTCGTGCAGGTGGGGACCCTGTCCTTCTCCCACCCCTTGTTTGGTGTGTCCGTTTTATGTATTTATTCTCGTTGAAGACGCCAGTCGTCAACGCGGGCGGCAGCCGCTCCTCCATGCGCGCAGAAGGCAGCTCTTTCTGCACGTAGTTCATCACAGAGGCAACCCACCCGTCGTACATCGGGTTGGCCACACCTGCGTCTGGCCACCGGCGCAGCTCCTCCTTCAGCCAAACGCGCAACGCCGTCGCGTACTGTTGGATGCTCTGCAGCTTGTACGGCGCGTCCTTGTACGGCCCCCACCCGAACGTGCCCTTCTTCTCGACCGGCATCATCATCTCCGCCTGCGAGAGCCCGTATGCCGCCGTGGCGTACAGCTGAGGATCAGCTCGGAGCTCCCGGCAGCCGCCCTTCTCCACCTCGCCGGTCATCATGCCCACGCAGAACTCGATGAAAGCGGACACCGCCGGCACTCGCGGCACCTCCTTGCCGCGCACCTTGTCAACAATGAGCTGCAGATTGGCCAAGCCGTCCTCCTGGGTCACCACCTCGCAGAACGGCGGGTAGCCCTGCTTTTGGCCCCACGCGTTCATGGTCAGCACGCGCTTCTCGTACTGCGCGGCCACCCGCTGCTGTCGCTCCTACATGGATCCACACACGCGTGAGCCCGAGCGAGGGAGTTGCTCTGGCTCCCTCACCGCCCCGTTGAGCACCTTGCCTTTGAAGCCGTCCGCCTTCAGCCACAGGTTAAACTTCACTTGGTGCTCCTTGTCGGAGGCGAAGTCCTTGCGGTGCGGCATCGTCACTACGGACACAGAGCCCGCCGGAGTCTCCCGGGCAATTTGTTCGGTGCCGCGCCAGCGGGCCTTCTTGATGAGCGAGTCGTGCTTCGCGGCCGTCGCCGCGATTCCCGTGCCGCCGCCACGGAAGGTGGCACGTGCTTTTGAGAAGCCCACTTTGCGGCCTTTGCCGCTTGCCCACCGCTTGGCTTCGTCGACGGGCGAGTGCCTTACCACACTCGCCTCGGCGTTACTCGAAGCTGCGAGCTCAGCTGCGGCCACAAGAGCGGCCTGCTTGGCACGCAGCTGCGTAATCGTCGGCCCGCGTGCGCGGCTCTTCACGGCCTGTGCCGGGGAGTTGGCGTTCACGCGCTCAATCATTATCGTCATGGCTGTGTGCGTGCTTCTCGCTCGTGCGTCCTTGGAAGTTGTGCGCCTCCTTCTCCTATGAGCTCGTATGCCACGTCGCCGCCTGTGTTTGGGTTTCTATGTTTGCGATTTGGAATTTGGTATTTGTCCAGCTCTTTGTTTATTTATTTATTTAGTCCCTCGCCGATTCTCGCTGCAACCTTCATGCCACCTCGCGGTCGTCCCACTCTCGTCGTTCTCCCTCCTGCCGCTTCCTCCTCTGTCGCGTCGCTCTCGTCTGCCTCGTCCTGCGACGCCGCCGCCGCCTGCCGATCCCTTGCTCTCGCGGCTTCTCCCGCCTTTCGGCGCAACTCTGCCCTCCTCGAGTTTATCGAGCTCTCCTCGCGCAAGGACGACTCTTCTGACGCCCACTGCGATCATTTGCCGCCAAGTCATATCGTTGCTCAGGTCCACTCTCTCTTCGACACTTGTACGATGTACCTCCACCGATGATGTTGGCGCTGGGGTCCTCTTCCCTTCGGGTGCATCGTGACAGCTGACGACGGGATTACCACTGGTGTGTGTTGTTTCGTCCTCCTCGGAGTCTTCTTCCCCGGTTTCCTCCATGCCGTGAACAGGCGCTTTATCCATCCTATATTCTTCTCTCTCTCCCCCGCCCGTGCCTTGTCGTGCGAGGCACGCCGCGAAATTCTTTTTCGCCTTGTTGCTGGTTCGCTCCTGTGTCGAGCCTGTCTGCTGTGAGAGTTTTTTGTTTACATTCTTTTTCGCACGACACTGGGTGGGAAAATTCTTTTTCGCATTGGGCGCTGCTGGCGGGGCCCGGGGGCCGACGCTCCTCCGACGCGCTCTCGAGCCCCCGCCCCAGACCTCAGCGGCTGCGCCGGGTCGTCGTCGGCGCGCGGGCCGCCCAAGGACGCCGCCGAGCGCGAGGCCGCCTCGACGCCCGTGCGCAAACGAGAGAGCCGTTCGCTGGCGGGCGCCGTGCGACACACCGCCCTCTCTGACGTAACCGCCGCGTCTCGACTCGGTGATATGGCGCCCGCCGCGAGCCCGCCCGCCACGCTGCTCGCCGACATCGCCGCCGGCCACCTCGCCTCGCTGCACGCCCACCTCTCCGGCCGGCGGACGCGCGGCAGTCTCAACGCGCGGCTCGACACGGAGAAGCAGGACACGCTGCTGACCTGGGCGGCTCGTCACGGGCAGGCCGAGGCGGCGCGGCTGCTGCTTGGGGCCGGCGCGAGCGTCGGGGCGACGACGGGCGGCGGCGGTGGTAGCAGCGGCGGCGCGTCGGCGCTGCTCATCGCGTGCTCGGAAGGCCACCCCGAGGTCGCCCGGCTGCTCCTCGAGGCCAGCGCAGCGGTCAACCAAGCCCGTGACGATGGCGTCACGCCGCTCTTCATGGCGTGCCGGATGGGCCACCTCGACGTCGCCCGGCTGCTTCTCGAGGCCAGCGCGGCGATCGACCAAGCCGACGAGCAAGGCGTCACGCCGCTGTACATCGCGTGCAGGAACGGCCACCTCGACGTCGCCCGGCTGCTCCTCGAGGCCAGCGCAGCGGTCAACCAAGCTCAGGCCCAAGGCGTCACGCCGCTGATCATTGCGTGCCGGAAGGGCCACGTCGACATCATCCGGCTGCTTCTCGAGGCAAGCGCGGCGGTCAACCAAGCCGCGGCTGGCGGCTTCATGCCGCTGCTCATCGCGTGCCAGCAGGGCCACGTCGAGTGCGTCCGGCTGCTTCTCGAGGCGGGCGCGGCGATCAACCAAGCGATGAATGGCTGCTCCACGCCGCTGCTCGCCGCGTGCCACAACGGCCACCTCGAGATCGCCCGGCTGCTCCTCGAGGCCGGCGCAGCGATAAGCCAAGCCCGCGACACCGGCCAAGCCGCAGCGGCCGGCTTCACGCCGCTGCTCATGGCGTGCCACTTCGGCCACCTCGAGGTCGCCAAGCTCCTCTCCTCCTACGGCGCCTCCCGCGCCGCTACGCCATTCGGCACGCCCGAGAAGCTTGCAACCCGCCGCGGCCACGCCGACCTCGCCGCCTGGCTGGTCGCCAGCCGCGGCTGGACGCCGCTCGCGCACCTTGAGAGCCTCACCGCCGCCCGCGCTCTCTCCCTGCTGCGCAACGGCGCGAGCCTGCACGAGGGCGAGCCGACGCCGCTGCAGCGCGCCGCGGGCGGTGAGGGCGAGGCGGCGGCGCTGATCCGGCGGGCGGCGGCGCCGTGGTCGCCGGCAAGCCACTCGCTCTTCCCCGCGGCGGCGCGCGAGTACGCGGTGATGGTCATGCGCATCGGCTACCAGATCGCGCTCTCTCCGCCCGACGACGCCGAGGCGCGCCCGGACCGGAGCGCGCTGTCCGACGTGTGGCGCGAGCACGTGCTGCCGCACGCGGTGGCGCGCTGAGGCCGAGTGAGGACGCGAGTGCCAAGCAGGGGAAGGGGCAGAGTGAGAGAGAGGTGAATTATGTGGATGGTGTTGGTGATTTTTTGTTACGTCGGATTGCGTTGTTCATGGACATGGACATGGACATGGACATGGAAAAAATCTCTGACATCGTTTAAAACTCTGACATCGTTTACGAACTCCTTGGCGACGTGCGCGTCGCGTCGCCAAGGCTCTGCGACCTCGGTCGTACACAATCAGCGACCTCGGTCGTACAATCGGCCGGCTGCGCGGGTTTTCGGCGAGTTTCCCGCGCACCGGCCACGAACTCGACTCGCACAGCAAAAAAATCCGGTGCTCGCGCGCCGCTCCCACGCTTGACCACACACTCGCTGCACTGCTCTCAAAGCCAACCCTACCTCACTGGCCGCCTCCAACACTGTCCCGCGCGTCTCGCGCCCCAACTGACAACTCATCACTGTCCCTCGGACACCACTCTCCAGCCGCGCTACCTTCCCCCACCTACCGCTCTCGCACGACATCTCGACAATCCTCATATCTCCAGGCCCAAGACTCCTAACCACTGCCCCTGCTCGCCCAGGACCACGAAGCGCCGCCCGCGCGCCCATTGACCCCCCAATCAGCCCTCTTGCTGTCCCTCAATCGCCACCCGCCAGATGTACTTCCCTCGCCCACCCAATACTCTCACCCTCCTGACCCGGACAGTCCAGGTACAGGAAAAGCGGGGAGCGGGGCCCGATCCAAGGAGCACCCCGTCGGCCCGGGAGGGCTGTGAATTTCGGCGCGAGCGGAAGGCTGCCTGCAGACGCTCAGCCCCCGGCTGAGCTGCCGAATCCTCCCGGCTAATCCCCTGACCTGCCGCCTGAAACGGGACAACATTACACCACCTCACACACACTCCCCCCTCAGGGCTAAGCAGTGCGCAAGTCCACCCGAACTCTAGGCGAGGCATCGACCGCTCCTTTGGAATAGTGCCGTCAGTGGCTGCACTAGACGCCCATTAGATGGCGCGCGGCGCGGGCGGATGACTAGGGGAGAGAATGCGGAGAGACTAGCTCGCAGGTAGATGTGCTCAGCCAAGGGTAAGGGATGAGGGGAATGTGTCAGTGTGAGGGGTGCACCAACCACAGAGCGTCGTGTTTTGCCTTTGAAAACTGAACAGTTTTTTTTGGACATGGACATGGACATGGACATGGACATGGACATGGACATGGACATGGACATGGACATGGACATGGACATGGACATGGACATGGAGGAGAATGCCTAGGCTGGCCGGTTCTTTTCATCAGATTGACGTGCTATCTGGGGCGATCCAGATCAATCCAGCTATCTCGTTCTATCTCGTGCGATCTCGCGGCGATCTCGCCTATTCGAGCCGTTTTTCTTTTCTTCTTCGCGCTGCGCGCGCATAGACGCTCCTTCCCGCCAGCTCTATATGGGTCGCAGCCGCAGCCGCAGCCGCGACCGCGACCGCGGCCGCGACCGCAGCCTTTCCTCCTCCTCCTCCTCCTCGGAGGATTCGGCGGAGCGCGAGGAGCGCATGCAGCGCGAACGCGATGATCGCGAGGAGCGCGAGCTCAAGCGGGAGCAGAAGAAGGCCGCAAAGAAGGCGGCCCGCGTGCAGACGGCGGCCACCGCCAAGGCGGGCCTGCTCCAGTGGCGCTTCCTGATCAAGCAGGACGACCCGATCGATGAGGACACCTTCGACGTGACGCTGCTCGCAAGCTGCCCCCCGGAGCTGCGAGTGAACTCCATCGTCACGGCCGAGGATTGGGGCCGCCTCGAGCCGTACCTGCGCGAGTCGTTCGAGATTCCCACTTCCGTCAAGATCGGCCTGCAGGGCAAGGTGCTGTTCAGCGGCAAGCAGGCGCTCTTCTTCAAGGTCCGCGACCAGCCCACGCTGTCCACCGCGCGCGTTCAGATCGAGCGGCTGGGCCAGCTGCTTGTGGACGAGACGGAGGTCACGGTCGAGGTCGAGATCTGCGCTGTGGACGTGGGCAAGAAGCTCAAGGCCAAGTCCAAGCCGCGCACGCGCAAGCAGGAGGCCTCCACCACCAAGCTCGACGAGCTGAAAGGCTCCATCTACGGCGTGACGGCCTCGACGCGCAGCTACGTGACCGGCTCGTGGAAGCCCGCATCGAGCGACATCATGCGGTCGGAGCCAGAGTACCTGGCCAAGTATTTTGAGGGCCGTGGCCTCACGGAGAAGGTGAGCACGCACGCACGCACGCACGCACGCATGCACGCACGCACGCACGCACGCACGCACGCACGCACGCACGCACGCACGCACGCACGCACGCACGCACGCACGCACACGCACATACACACATGCCGTTTTGTACACACATGCCGTCCTGTTCCTGTTGGTAGGTGATGGGCAACGCCGACTACCACCCGAGCCCCGTGGTCCTCATCTGCCCCTTCGACTCGTGCAAGAAGAGCCACCGCGTGCTCAATGGCGTGAGCGCCGTGTCGCAGCTGTACTCGCACTGGATGGGGAGGCACGCGAGCAACCCGATGGCTATCGCGCTCGAGAAGCGGTGGCGGCTGGCGCTTGACAACAAGCACAAGTCGAAGGAGTGGCTCGATGCGCAACCAGGCTGTGCGCTCTGCCTCACCTGCGAGGAGGCCGATCGCCTCGGCGGCGAGGAGGCAGGCTACGAGCAGATCCGCCCCCCCAAGCCCGATCCGACTGACTTCAAGCTGACCTTCGACCTCAACACTGAGGAGCACCGGGCGTGGAAGGCAGCCGTCGGCACCATCTAGGTGGTCGTAGTAAGGCGAGAGAGCACGGTGCCAAAGGCGCGCGGCGAGAGAGGGGGGCGGGGCGCCCCGCCGCAGCGGCGGGTTGGGGCGCTATCTGGCGCTATCTGGCGCTATCTGGCGCTATCTGGCTATCTCATTCTATCTCATTCTATTTCGTGTCGATCTGACAAAAGAACCGGCCAGACTAGGCCTAGGAGAGAGGGGTGGGCAGTGGCGGGGGACTCCGATATCATGTGATCGGGAAGTGCGGCCCGTGCTGCGCACCCGCCGGGGTTTTTCTTGCGGAGGGAGTGCGTTGTGTTCTTGTTGTGTATACAGACACTCATACACACACACACACATATTTACCCCTCGATCGCCCCGATCGCCTCCGTCACCGCGGCCACGAGCCGCGACGCCTCCCCCTCGCTGCGCGGCCCGTCCCTCCTCCACCTCGCCGCGTCGTGGTGCCTCGCCGCGTTCGCCCAGATGCGCAGCGAGTGCAGCTGGCTCCGCAGATCGGTAGGCAGGCCGCACTCGCGGTGCCAATAGTTGATGACCTCCTCGAAGCCGTCGGGCGCCGCCGCAGAGCGCGCGGCGTAAATAGCGTGGAGGCGCGGCATCAGCGTGTTGAAGGCGAGCAGCATGTTGCCCTGGATGCGCGCCTGCGCGTCGCCGCCCGTGCGCATGCCGCGCACCTGCACCGAGAGCGGCGAAGGCTCGTACCCGGTGGCACGGGCGGCTGCCGCAGCGGCCTCGTCTCCAGGAGCCGGCGCAGCCTCCTCCACCCCCGCCCCGGCCTGCGCGCCAGACAGCAGCGCCCGGAGCGTCAGCAGCGCCTCGGGCAGCGTGGGCCGCTTGCGCAAGCTGTTGTGGCAGAGGCTCTTCTGCCCGTCCCCCGCCTGCGCGAGGTCCTTTACTGCGCGCGCCGCGTCGACTGGCCAGCCCGCAGCCACGTCCGAGAGCTTCGCCGCGTCGATGTCGGTCCAGTCCTCCTCGAACTCGTCCTCGCACCGGTCGGTGAGCTGCACTTCGGACCGGTTGGTGAGACAGACGAGGAGGGTGATGCCGATGGCGTAGCCGTCCGTCTTGCTCGAGTACTCGCCCCCCTTGGAGATGGAGGGGCAGAGGTAGCCCGTGGACATGTAGAGGGCGGTCGAGCGACAGCGGACAGAGGCGTCGGGACGCTGGTCCTTGGCGAAGCCCGTGTCTGCGAGCACGGCGGCCAGCTTCTCGTCGAGCAGGATGTTGTCCGGCTTGACGTCGCGGTGCACGATGCCCTTCGAGTGGAGGTAGACGAGCGCCTCGGTCGCCTCGCACGCGACACGCACGCGCTGCTGCCACGTCAGCGGCCTTGGCGGCTCTACCATCCCCAGCCGCCGGAGCTGCGCCGCCCGGTCGGGATCCGAGAGGCGCAGCCGCGCCTCGAGCGAGCCGCCGCGCATCAGCGGCGAGAGGAGGCAGACGCCGTCGGGCGAGAGGCAGTAGCCGAGCAGCGGCAGCAGGTGCGGGTGGCTCACCGCCTTGAGAAGCTTCACCTCGAGCTCCGCCCGAGACAAACCGCCCGACTGGCCCGACTTTGCCCGCTTGACGACGAGCGGCAAGTGGCGCAGCTGCGGAGGCGCGGCGAGGGAGAGGTGGAGGTCGGCCGACGCCTCGTAGACGCGGCTGAATCCGCCGCTGCCAATCAGCTTGCCCTCTGCAAACCCGTCCGTCGCCGCGGTGAGGTCCGACAGGGCTAGCTCGACGGGCCGAGCAACAGCCGCCTCCTCCGCCGACAGAGTTTCCAGCTTCGACTCCGCCGCGCTCACCTCCTCGGCCAAAGCAGGCAGCGCGCCCACGTGCGGCCTGGCGGCAGCGATGCCCGCGCGGAGCGCGGAGGGGCTGTCCGCTGTGTCGAGCGACTTGAGCGCGCCCATCGCCGCGCCATGCGCCTTGCGCAACCGCTGGCTCTCCCTCTTCCGCGCCTCCTTGAGCTTGCCGCGCCTCCTTGAGCTTGTCGCACGCGCGCCTCGCCGCCGCCAGCACGGCCGGGCTCGCGAGGCCGCTGCACGCCTCCAGCGCGCTGGCCACGCCCTCGTACGAGCCAGCGGCCACGGCCTGCTGCAGCGCCTCGTCCGCCGCGGCGATGGCGGCTGCGTCGGCGGGCGGAGGAGATGGGGCTGGCGGTGGGGTTGGCGGCGCCAGAGCGGCGGTGGCGCTGGGGCCAGGCGCCGCGTTGTCTGCCTCGCCGCCGCCGCTCTTCTTCT